TGGGGCAAGGGTAGATTTATTAATCTAACCGGCTGAGCATCTTGGCCCCATGCCGATTGATATGTGCCACAACCACTTCATGCACTAATTTTTGGCTTGTTAAAACGGCCTAATTATCTAAACGGCAATTATGGGAGAATGCCTTGAAGTCCATGCACTGGCTGGGGCAATGGCAGATTTATTAATCTAACCGGCCGAGCATCTTGGCCCCATGCCGATGGATATGTGCCATAGCCACTTCATGTACTGATTTTTGGCTTTTTAAACGGCCTAACTATATAAACGGCCTAATCATCTAGTCGGCAAGTATATAAAACGTTTTATCCAAAACAGCAACCAAACAATTCCGTTCATTAGTAACAGCAAAGTACAAAATAAATTTTCATTAAGTAAATTGGGCACAAATTGTAACCATTTTACATATGAAAATTACTAAACAAAAAGTTGTAAAAAGCTGAAAATCACATGCAAATCCTAAAACAAAAACAAGAGCCGCCCAAATTAGCCCTCGAAGTTAAACTCTAGCGGCTCAACATCCACTTGCTCGTATGAAATTGGCGTAGCCAATGTCACATCAGCAGCAACAAGGTTTTGAGCCAGCCGTATTTAAATCCCCGATTCTCAAATTTGGGGACTTCGTCTACGTATTCATCAAAAATAGATTTTTTCCCAGCATCGAATGCGCTGGAAGCCTTCAGGTCGACTGTTTCCTTTGCCGCCTTTATCTTTTCCAACCCAGCCTCCAATTTAGAGATCGCCTTCTGGGCCAATTTAAGCGCGTCGTCGCTCGCATCCACCCTCTTCTCGGCGACTGATCTCAATTCTTTAGCATTGTGGGCTCTCTCCATCTCGGCCTCGGCACGGGCGCCCTCTGTCTACACCTTACTCCTTTGGACCTCAACCTCCGCTTGTAAATGGCCAATTAGCTCGACGGCATCGTGATAGCGACGGCCCATGTCGGTTATCCTTTCGCCGGCCTGCAAAATAGGAAGTTAAGAACAAAATAATATTTGCATAAAGAGAAAAGACAAAGTCTAGATATATACCAAAAAAGGCGATTGTGCGGCCAACCTAATTGCAACCAGATCAGGCTTCGCCCGAAAAGTCGCCTTGTCAGAAGGCAATGAAATAGACGTCGCCAAGTTGAGTGCAACCGCTGGATCTTTGATTACCGAAGCATTGGAAGAGATCGGCGTATTTTTTATCTTGGGCTGAATAACAAAAGGTACAATCACATCCGACTCCTCCAAATGAGGTCGTTTGTTGGCATGGTCTTCTTCTGAGTCGACCTCGACATCGGCAGGGCGCTTGTCCACTCTTTGCTCAGCTTCCACACTTGCCTACACAAAAGGTTCCGCCTCAGTACTTCCGTTCTTTGCCGTCCCCTCAATAACAGGCAAGGAGGACTGAGACTGAGATTCGGCAGCCCGGATCTAATCCGCCCTTCGCCCCACGACCATCATTTCTGCGTTCGGCTTCTTGGCAAGTTTAGTGAGGCTCAACCCAGCCATATCTTTTGGGAACGCAACGGGAAGGTCCTCCAGACCGTGAAAAATATCGCCAAGTAGACAGTCCTCTCGACCTGAAGTGGACGGAGGATCAGCCGAATTGAGGCCGGCTTCTTCAAATGCTAACTTCAAAGCCTCGTCAACCTCAACTTCGGATTGGTCTGACTTTGATTAAATCAGGCCGATCAATGTCCATTTACTTGTCTGAAATACGTTTATTCAAACATGTATTTAATAAAACACATGCAAGCACGTGTGTGCCGGACAAAATAAGGGCAATAAGAAATTCCTCACCCTTCGGAATTGAGATGTTTTCTGCCGCCGAAAAGGTCATATAAGTCAGCTCGTAGCGGAGAAGAACGTGGGCCGCCCTCCCTTGCTTCTGAAGACTCGGTCGGCTGAAATACTTGAGCACAGTCTTGATTTCCGAAAGGACGGCGTCGTCGGCTGAGGTCAAGACTTTCTTCAAATCGTTTCTTGCAAAAGCAAAATCATGAGGTCCCGAAAATAAAGTTTTATAAATATAACAAGCAAATAAATAAAAGAAGATACTCGACCACCTGGTTCGCCCCACCGTCTAGGAATACGATCAAGGCGATCCTCGCCTTCGCCGAATTCCCAATTTCCTTGGACGACTACCATAAGATCATTGACTCGCTTCCCAGAGCTGGAAAGCATAGTCACTAGTTGATGGTCGGTGTCTTTGGCCTTAAGGAAATAACGCCCGTGCCGACCAGAAGACTTGGCCAAGGCATAGCAATGCCGAATAGCAGGAAGCGGGAATGCCAAGGTTAAGCCCAAGACGGCAGTTAAGTGTGATAATCCTCATCACGATCCTAAAGAAGTTGACGTTGGGTTGGGAAGGGATTAACCCCCAATAGCAAAGCACGGCCCTAAGGAGTGAGTGAATGGGGAAACAGACCCCACCCTCTACGATTGATAGAAATGGGAAGACGATCGTGGTTTCATCAACCCTCTCCATATGGAGGGTGCCGTTTGCCACAAATGACAGACGAGCGTCATCAGGAATGGAAAAATGACGTCGAAAGCCAGAAATTCGGTCTGGTGAGAGGAGATCTTTTAAATGTTTCGCCATTCCCCCCAGCCAATAGGATTATGCTAAGCCAAAAAACAAAGCAAATAAGGATATAACTTACAAGAGGCGAAGGAGATAGAGAAAAGTAGGAAGTTGCAGAGGTAGTTCGGAAGACAGTCTAGTGATGGGCGTCTAAAAGCGTGTATGCATTTGAAAAGACATCGAAAATTTAAATCACAATAAATAGAAGTGTATGAAGAGGCGGGAAGTTAAAATGATAACTGAGAAACGTGTGTACAGACATTTACGTTGGAATACAGTCAGCTGTCGAATTTTGGCTCTGACTCTTCGAGTTCGAAGCCAAACACTCCAGCCAACTGTCGTTAGTGGAGTGCTTGGGAGGCAATTGTGGAGGCCGAGAATTGGGAGTCGTAGAGATTCCGGATAGTCGAACCTGGGAGAGTCGAGATTCGAAGCACTCGACAATTGGCTTGAAAGCTCAAATTCAACTATACTCGGTCAAATAACCGATTAAGCAAGAGGCCGAGTGGAGATCGGTCTATTATAAAATGAGCCAAATATGAGGTGAGAAATGGATCTAATCCCGAGGCCCAAAGAAGAAAATATATAAATAGAAGAAACATCAGCCAGAAAGAGGTATGTGAGAATTGTTGTGCTAAACTTAGAATACAAGCATTCTTGAGCGTTGAGACTGACTTGTTCGTTGGAGTGCTAATTCTGGCATCCCCGACCGGAGTGTTTATTCCTTTTCAAGTGACTAGAAGAGGATCACGAACGTTCCCCAGGATCTGAAGAGTATTTCCAAACCATTTCTCCACAATTTGTATTTTTTCAAGCCACAAAAAGCAATTCGTATTTTAAGCAAATATTAGGGGAGGTATTTGTAATTTATCCAAAAAAAAAAGAGAAAAAAATAAGAAAAAAAGGCTTAGGCCTTGACTCATCGGACCTATGGAATACAGATTGTAGCTCAGCGACTCAGCCTAAAAAAGGGAATCAAACGAACGTTCCCCAGGATCTGAAGAGTATTTCCAAACCATTTCTCCACAATTTGTATTTTTTCAAGCCACAAAAAGCAATTCGTATTTTAAGCAAATATTAGGGGAGGTATTTGTAATTTATCCAAAAAAAAAAAAGAAAAAAAGAAGAAAAAAAGGCTTAGGCCTTGACTCATCGGACCTATGGAATACAGATTGTAGCTTAGCGGCTCAGCCTAAAAAAGGGAATCAAGATTACCTCCTTGAGTTTCCTACTTGACTTCTTACTTGCTGGGTTGTTGGACCCACTTTTAGGCCCGATTTCGATGATCCGAACCATTTACATTTTAAGATTTGTTCAGTATATCATACCTGTAAAAAATCAAATTGATCGGATATCAGAAAGTATGTGTTTGGATCATCGAACTAAAAATTATTTTTTTTTATAAATTTAATAAATAGTTTTCTGAACACATATTTTTTGATATTCGATCAATTTGATTTTTTATACGTATGATGTACTCAATAAATCTTAAAATGTGAACGGTTCGGATAATCGAAATTGAGCCTAAAAGTGGGCCCAATAACCTAACAAGTAGGAAATCAAGTAGGAAACTTAAGGAGGGATCCTAGTTTCGTTTGGGAAGAGTTATTTGAGGTTTCTTTTGGCTATTTTAGCCACAAAAGACAAAATATGTTATTTTAGTCACAAAAAATAAAGCATCACATCTAACCCATAATCATTATACTATTCTCTCACAAAAAAAATCAAAAAAACTAAAAGATCATCCAAAAATCAAGTTTTTTAGCCTAGGCTAAAATAGCAAAAAAAGCTAAAAAATCAAAAAGCTAACCCACTTCCCAAACGACACCCCTGATTCCAAAAAAGATGGGACGGTTTACGCGCGTTTTGTTTCATCTCAAAGCCGCCGTATGGAAAGTGGGTTGGCTTTTTGACTTATTTGGCTATTTTAGCTTAGGTTAAAAAGATTGGTTTGGAAATGATTTTTTTAATTTTTTGACTTTTATGATTTTTTTGTGAGAGAATAGTGTAATAATTATAAATTAGATGTGATATTTTATTTATTATGATTAAAATAATTTATTTTATCTTTTGTGATTAAAATAAACAAAAAAAACAACTCTCGCCAAACGGAGTAAATCTAAAAAATGTTGAAATCAAACGCAAATTGATTCCAATTTTCAAAAGCCGCCAAACTCGTCCCTCCTTTTTTCTTTTTTGTTTTCTCTCTCCTCCGAGAACTCACAATCCGCTCCGCGATGCTTAAACCACTCCCCGCCGTCGATGAAGACATAATCAACGACTAACATCGAATATACGCATGCTACGCGGATCGACCTCATAAACCGTCCGATTAAATCCAAAACCAACGAGCGCGATCAAACCCCCCGCCAGAATTCAAATTCCCCAAATTCCATCCATAAATACCCGCACCAATCACCTCCAAATCCCCACCATTTCTCAAATCAAAACCCTAACCCTAGATCTACAATTCTCTCTTCCGAACTCTCTGAAAATGTCTGGTCGCGGCAAGGGAGGCAAGGGATTGGGCAAAGGAGGCGCAAAGAGGCACAGGAAGGTCCTGAGGGATAACATTCAGGGCATCACAAAGCCTGCGATTCGGAGGCTTGCGAGGAGAGGTGGCGTGAAGAGGATTTCAGGTCTCATCTATGAGGAGACCCGTGGAGTTCTGAAGATTTTCCTCGAAAATGTGATTCGCGATGCTGTGACCTACACGGAGCATGCTAGGAGGAAAACGGTGACCGCCATGGATGTGGTCTATGCCCTCAAGAGGCAGGGTAGGACTCTCTATGGCTTCGGCGGTTAGATTGTTTCTTAGGCGTGTAGATTAGTAGTCTCTTTTATCTCTATTGATAACTTTCTCTGTTGCCAATCAAGCTTTTTCTAGCATTGTTCTGATGGTGTTTCCAAGTTTTTTGTAATTCTTAGTTCAATATCAGAAGTAATAGAGCTTATGTTTCGTTGCTAAGCATTGGATTTCGTTTGTGTTTCTTTGTTTCTTCAAATTAAACTCTGTTTGGATTGTGAGAAAATGGTCGAGAGGAGAATGCATAAGTCCAGTCCATCTTGTGGACACAGCATCCAGTTGGGCTTGTGGCCAATTATGGGTGGGGGTGATAAATGAATTTAATGAGTTGAATGGTTAACTGTTTAAATTTGATTGGTTAAGTTTGATTTGATAATTTTAATAAATTTTAAAATTTATTTAAGTTTAATTTATTAAAATTTTAAGTTGATTTTGATTAATTTAAAATTTTTATAGTATAATTTTAAGTTTATTAATTTAAGTTGAATGAGGAATTTAATATTTAAATTAAATTTAATTTAATTTTTTAAATAAATTTTAAAATATGTTTTCAATAAAATTATCCAATTAAGGGCAAATTACATATACATCTCTCGAGGTTTGGTTAAATTATAGATACCCCTGAGATTTTAGAAATTACATCCTGCCCCCTGAGGTTTGTATTTTCATAACAATTTACCCCCTGAGGTTTATATTTCATAACAAATTACTTTCTAATTTCTTATGCAAATATAGCATTCAGGGGGAATTTGTAATTTCTCAAACCTCAGGGGTATTTGTAATTTAGCCAAATCTCGAGGGGTGTATATGTAATTTGCCCTTAAATTAAGTATAAGGGAAAAGAAATGAAATAAAATGATTGTGATTTTTCTTCTTTTTGTTTGGATAAGTAAGAAATAAAAGAAAAGAAATGATTGTGATTTCTCTCCTTCTTGTTTGGTTAGATTTCATTAAGAGAAAAGAAAAGAAATTATTTTATGTTATATTACCAAAATAACCTTTTTATATTTTCAATCATTTTATTTCTTTTATTTTTATAGGGGTAAAATTGGTATTATGAAAATATAAACATTTGTGGATTTCTTTTCTCTCCCAATCTCTCCACTTTTGGGAAGATTGAAAATAAGGGTTATGAGAGAAATGAGTTTCTCTCCATTTCTCTCTATTTCTCCTCATTTCTCTCCACTTAAGATAACCAAATGCATTTCTCTCTATTTCTTTTCTTTTCTCTCCAAATCACTCAATCCAAACACAGTGTAAAAGTGTCAACTTTTTTTTCTTTCTTTATCCCCATCCCCATCAAATCATCATCACCTCTCTCCCTCCCTCCCTCCCCAACTCTCTAAAAAAAACGACTTTATTTATTTTTTATTTCTATCTAGATTGTAGTAGAAAGAAACATCAACCAACCAAACAAATTATTAAAACTCCACCTGGATATCCGCCGGCGAACCACCCCATAACACGGCGATGCGAAGCGGACATTTGTTCAAGGCTTCTCCGCCGGCGCGCTTGAACATGGCTGTGCCGAGCGAGGACGACGCCGTATTGGTCCAGAAAGGGAAGAATCCAGGTGATCCCCACGTCATCACCATCAATTGTCCCGACAAGACTGGCCTTGGCTGCGATATTTTCCGAACCATTCTCGATTTCGGACTCTACATTACCAAAGGAGGTATCAAAAGCCCAATCAATTTTTTTTTTCCTCCAATTTTCGTTCTCTATTTATTTTTGTGTCTGTGTTTTCTTTGATTTTCTGCTTTACCCTCTAGGGTTTCTTGTGTTGAATTCTCGATATTTGAGTTACAGATTATGAAGCATTTCATAATTCGAACATAATTAAGTATCTAAATATTTTGAGTTTGTCCAATATGTTTATAGGCAACTTGAGTTATTAATGCTATTTTTTAAGTTTCAAATGTTTGATTCTTTCTCTCTTTCTTTGGTTGGGCAAGTTGTCATTGTTCAACCTGTGAAATGTGAATAAAATATATTTTATTTAATTTCACACGCTTTTCTCTTTTTCTTACCAAATCACTTCTCAAATTATCCAACCAAACAAAGTATTATTTTGGGAACTAGATTTTATGTTTTTCTCTTATGTATATGGCTCCCCCGTTTTATGTATGTAGTGTACGTATGCACAGGGACAAAAGCCGGGCATTTTTTTGGTTTGGAGGCTGAAATAAGTGTAGCAAAAAAAAAAAAAAACTTAACTTTTGAAAAATGATGATTAATTACAGTATGTTTGTTTGGGCTGAAAATTTTCCAACGAAAATGTTTAGAAAATGTTTTTTGGAGAAAATATTTTTCTACATTTCGTGGCAGTGGTGGAACAAAGGTGGAGATGGAGGTGGTGACGTGGTGGTGGGGTGGCAGTGGCCGTGGTGATGATGGTGTGGTGTTAGAGGTAATAGTGGCACTGGTAGTGTGGTTACATTGGTAAGATTTTAGTTTGGAGAAAGTGTTCTGCCTTTTAAAAGTAAAAAATATTCTCTGTTCAAATAAGCTTATTTTCTGTTATCCATGAAAAATATTTTCGTTTTTTGTTGTGCCAAATGTCAAAAAATACAAAAAATGTTTTCTACACTAATAAACAGATCGTTGCATAAGCATTATGGAAAAATTAGTAAGAAAAAATAAAATCTATATCATTCATTTCTTAATGTTTATATTAACTATTTCATACAGTTTTTGGGGGGCTATATAATTAGGAATGTATAATTTATTAGACTGTCATTTTAAGACAGTTCATTCTATCTGTAATGTGACGTTTTTTTTATATGATTGTAATAATGTTAAGATTGAATGGCACTTTGAGCTTTAGAAGGTGAATTTTCTTTTATTAGATAATAGTTTTCACTGAATTAATGTTCTTTGTTTTTGATATAGATTTTTCTACTGATGGGAGATGGTGCTATGTAGTATTATGGGCGGTTCCTCACTGTAGCACCCCCGTTGTGAGATGGCCAAATTTGAAAAATCGCCTTCAATCTGTATGTCCAACTTGTTCAGTCTCATTTTACTTAAACCAACCATCTCCACGGCCGGCCTCATCTCCACTTTACATGTTAACATTTTGTTGCCTTGATCGAACAGGATTGTTACATGGTAACGACAAATGCCTTTAGTGTCAGCATCTTTTTTATTTATTTATTTATTTTTAAATGTGTAATTGTGAAGTTATAACATGGTTGCTTTACCTTTTCAGATGTTACTCAAGTTGTGTGTGAACTAGAGCTTGCAATTCAGAAAGTAAAAGTGACAACAACACCAGATGGCAGAGTCCTGGACCTCTTCTTCATAACAGATAACTTGTGAGTATTTGTGTTGTGTTAATTATTGTATGAGAAAATATGCAATGCTGTTGACTATATATTATGAAGTGCAATCTACTACGACATGCATGCTATTGAAAAGGTCCATGCTTTGGACCACTTATTTGGTGGACTATCTCTGTCCTTGGTGAAACAACTTCTTAGTTTGCCTATGTTTGATGGATGAAGAATTTACCAATGTGGTGACTTGCCACTGTCTCCTCAATGGAGCAGCCTGGTGGCAACATGATGGTGCTAGCAGCTATCAATGTTATGTTTTCCATTTGTTTGTTTCTTTCTTTTTACTCAGCACACTTTCCACTCCTGGGAGTTTCTTAGATTTCTGTGGTTAAGCTATATGACTTAATTGCCACTTTAACGGTCATTGACTTGATTTTTCCCCTCATCGTATGTCTTGCTGATTAATTTGATGCATGTTTTACTTGGATTTCTCAAATTGTATTGAAAACCAGCACTAGTTCATTGATCACAACCACAATGGTATATTCACGAGATTAGGTCCAAAAACTCTCTCTCTCTCTCTCTCTCTCTCTCGCTCGCGCGTGCGCGCGCTCTCAATTTGTACATGTAAAATAGATTCCCAGTGTTTTTCTTATGGGTTTACTGTCTATTTGATTTTCTTGGAAGTGGAACTTTTGTCCTGCCCCACTTGTTAGGGCTTGAAATCTCTCATAGTTTTCCCACCATTATTTATCAAGCAGTCTCTTTTTCTGACAATGATCAGATGGTATAAATAATTTGAAGAAGTTAAAAACTAATTTGTCAGTGGTAGGTTGGAGGATGAAAAAGATTGGCTGGTTTTGATTTGTTATCCACCATTTTCATGAAACATTTTTTTTAAGGAATCATTTAAAATCCATTTGCATTATACATTTTCACTATTTGCTTCAATGTCGTTTCAGGGAGCTCCTCCACACAAAAACGAGACAAGATGAGACTTGTGAACAATTGCGTTCTGTTTTAGGTGAATCATGTATTAGTTGTGAACTTCAGTTAGCTGGATCTCAGTACGATCGTCATCAGGGTTCGTCTTCCCTATCTCCAGTTGTTGCTGACGAACTATTTAGATGTGAACCATCAGATAATGAAACTTGTGCACAGGCTCTTAGCCCAGATATGAAAAAATTGAAGAATGCCAGTGTAACAGCAGACAATTCCTTGAGCCCAGCTCATACATTGCTTCAGATACAGTGCATTGATCACAAGGGCCTCCTTTATGACATCATGCGAACATTGAAAGACTGCAATATTCAGGTACTTATTTGTATCTTCCCCTCATACAGAATCAACAGATAACCAGTCATCCACACAAATGATATCTTTTACATTATAAGCTTCAGTCAGCATCATTTTGGGAGTAGGGTTTGGGGTATTCCACTTGTTAGCTTGCTGTAGGAGGTCCTAGTTTTCTTGTTGCTAGGGAAGAATGGCGTGATTGAGATTTCTTTAGCTAAAAAAAGGAAAAATTGTTGACTTGGTTTGCTTCCTCTCCTAGGCACACAAAAGAGGGAATCATGGTGTAGAAATACTATTCTATTTTGCTGGCTACCTACTCTTAAGAATCTGTACTGCTCAAGCTTCACACACCTCATCTAGTGATTACGCCTCTTCTAGATCAATTTTTTTTTTCAGGGGTAGGTAATTGAGTTAGATATACCAAAAAAAATAGATGTTACAGTGAAGCTCAATACACCCCCATAGGGTACAAGAAAGATGGCTGTGCAAGCTTTCAAAACAAAGCATTCAAAAACCTAGCACTAAAATAAACTCCCACAGCTCGAGAGCTAGGCCAAATAAACAATCAACATGCAAGGACAACACCTATTATTTCATTTAAGGCATACAACTAGAATTCTTAGAATTGGTAGAGAGGTTTGAGCACGCTTCACAAGATGTGTCCTCATCCTTGCTCGAGCAGCCTTCGGGCACACTTCAGGCAGAGCTTGCATGATTTCTGCAAACATCTATGTAGTCCGCTTGAACGGCCTTTGGGAGCACTTTGAGTGGGGTCCTCTAGATCTAAGTGAAATTGCTTGTTTTGCACTGATTAAAACACTAATTCTATTGGATTAATCTAGGATCAAGTTAGGTAATTTTGTACTACTTAAAAAGCAAGTGTACTAAATCTAAATTCTAATGCAACATGCACATGCAAATTTAATTGTGTGAGTAAGGAGCGAAACTTGGATTATTGGTGCCGGTCTTCAAGCCACAACACTCTCTCGGACACTCATCCTAACCTGACTATTCTTACAAGCAAGCCCAAGCTAATTCAGCCAACTCCCCGTTTGTCTTACAGAAATTGCCAACGCACACTACATATTGTAACTCAAAATTTGACTTCGAGCCAATCTACGCTGCCTTCAATTTTTCATTGTGAATCACCGTAATAGATATGATCATTCTGTATCAAGCATTATTTTTCTTGTTTGGCTGATTAGCATTTTTGTTACTGATATATGCTATTTTGCTTCTTTTTATCAGATAGCATATGGTCGACTTGGTCCCGTTAGAAAAGGTAATCGTGAACTGGACCTATTTGTCCAGCAAAAGGATGGTAAAAAGATTGTGGATCCCGAGAAGCAATGTGCATTATGTTCTCGTTTGAAGGCGGAGATGCTTCATCCACTACGCGTAATTATTGCAAACCGTGGACCAGATACTGAACTCTTTGTTGCTAATCCAGTGGAGCTTGCAGGAATGGGAAAGCCACGAGTTTTCTATGAGGTCACACTTGCGTTGAAAACTCTTGGAACCTGCATTTTCTCGGTAAGTAAATGTGATATTATAAAGGGAAGCGATCAAGAACCATCAGCACATTGTGGCTTCAGAGATCCAGATATAAGACCATTGTGGAAATTTTTTTGCCATGCCTGGGATACCAACCTTACCACTTCCAGACCTAGCTTTAAGCTAGAAGCTTGTGCACTGGGTTTGACATTTTATTATGGTATTGTTATTGATAATTGAATTTGGAAAAATCTGTTGGGGGATAAAAGTGGTGGGGTCAAATCTCCAATAACCACTATCTAAGAAGTGCAGACACTTCGTAGGCGTGTTCTTGTCGAACACTTCCCAACAAGTGTCCAACTCATCCAAGTGTGCCCTTTTTGTTTTATTTTAAAAAAAGAAAAGAAAAAAAAGCAACTTCTTAGACATTTGGAGGATACACATGTTCATCCTTTAGACATTCATAAAACTAATTTAGAGCTTGAACAAAATAACTTATGATGCAATGATAAGAAAGCAAGCCTGATTTTTTTTCAATTAGGTTCTATAGTTTGGTTGCTGTCCAGGTCTGATTGCTATCCGCAAGTCAAGAAAAATAATCAGTGTGTTTGGTTTGAGTTTTCTGGATTAAGTTTTTTGAAAACTGAATTTTTTGGTTTTCGTGTTTTTTTTTGTTTTGTTTTTAGTGAATATTTTTAAAATTTTAAATATTTTTTTTTACTTTTTTAGATGCACCTTATTTAGATGTATCTAAAAAGTAAAAAAATTGTGAAAAAATATTTTAAAAAATTAATAAATACGTAAAAATACAAAAAATGTATTGAATTCTTGTATTTTTATTTTTATTTTTTGTATTTTTGGTATTTAGTGAATTTTAAAAAGATTTTTTTTACAATTCTTTTACTTTTTAGGTTTATTTATGTTAGGTGTGTCTAAAAAGTAAAAAAATTGTTTAAAATATTAAAAAAACTCAGTAAAAACAAAAAAATACGGAAAATAAAAAAGTATTTTTGGAAAAATGGAACCAAGCGCAAGCTATGAAAAGTGCTTATGACGCAATGATATGAAAGCAAGCCTGATTTTTTTTCAATTAGGCTCTATAGTTTGGTCGCTATCCAAGTCCGATTGTTATCCGCAAGTCAAGAAAAATAATATAAATTTATAGGAGTTAGTGTTGTGTTGCATTTTTTTATTATCTTTTAATGATTTATTCATATATTGTGACATATAATACATATTTAAAACTATACATGTTGTGCATATCCCCCATGCGTCATGCCTTGCATTTTTTATATTTTCTGTCATTTTATATTTTCTGTCATTGTGTCCGTGCTTCTTAGACTATTATATGCTTGTCAATACATTTCTCTCATTGCGGTCATGCATCCGTCCAGTAATTCTCTGAAGGATACCCTAATGTGGGAGTTAATACCTTATTCACACGTCACCCTGTGCGAACAAGGTTCTTGAATCACTTTCCAATTCTAAATTATAAAGTTGGCTGGTGAAAATCCATTTAATGGTCTATTGTCTTTTGGCTCATAGGCTGAAATTGGGAGGCATTCAACTGCGGATCGGGAGTGGGAGGTGTACAGGTTCCTTTTAGATGAGAACTGCAAATTTGAATTATCAAAAGTGGTTGTTAGAAATCAGATTGTGAACAGGGTTAGAAGAACATTGATGGGCTGGTGAGCTGATCCTTTTGCGTTGTCCTTCACTCCCCTTAACATGTTCGGTACTTCTCCTGTATTTTGGGCTTCGAGGATCAGTTGATTTGTATGAATAGAGAGCATTATCGTCAACAGTCATGTTAGGCTTGTAAGGTTTGCATTCTTGAATCTTATTTAATCCGAATGCTGTGTCCCTTGATGTATTTAAGGTTTGCTTTAACAACCGGGCTTTCATCCAGTAATACTACAAATTTATACTTAATTACTCAGAATTATCATCTTACAATTATGATTTATTTTTATATAGACTCCACACCATACAAATTTAATTACAATCGCACAATCCCATTTGGGATAAATTCGGGAAAATTAAGGGCGGCTATCTACAATTACTCAGCTTTCACCTGGCCAACTCTCCAGGAAATTCAATCACTTGCCAGAAAAATGTTTCTTTTGTTTAATTTAAGAATCATCTATATTAATTTAGGAATTTGGTGCCATTCTTGAGATTTCTTTTGGACTGGTTTCTGTTTTAGTTAATCTGTATGGGATGTGTACCATTTCTACGAAATACGCAGGTATAGATAAACTATTTTTTTTTTTTTTAATTCAAATTATTCTCCTTTAGCTTCTCATATTGATGTGTCACTTCTATAATTTCAATTTGCTAATTTTGACAAGTTGAATAGCTCCGAAGGAAAATTATTGGTTGCCCCATAGCGTTTACACCAATCAGCAATTGGCATTTCGTTTTTTGGTTGAACAAACACATAAAAATAATAGTGTCCTTAGGCTATGTTTGATTGACAGGATTAGAGTATGTGATTGAGATTATTAATTCGTGGATCCAATAATCCTGTGTTTGTTTTGATATTTTATTTTAGGAATATTAATCAAATAGATAACTAATCTAACAAATTTATAAGATTATTAGTAATGGGTAAATGTGAGATTATATATCCTGAGCTGGAAAATAAAATAAAGATTCTTTTACCCTTGATTAAAAATTAAAACAATTATTATTTTTATATAATTTTATATTTTAGAAGGCTAAAAATAATTTTTAAAAATTTAAAAATATTTTTTGATATTTATTTTATCAAATTAGTTTATATTTTTTTAAAAAAATTTAAAAAACAAACCAAACATGGCATTTGTATTTTGTTTTTATTTATTTGTTTATAATTTTTTTCAAAACCACGTTTATGAAGAAATTTTGATAAAATAAAGATTGTGAAAAAAATATTGATGGAGGGTAAAATTGAAAAAGAAGATAAATATAATTATAATTTTACATTTATATATTTTCTTATCTAATGTAAATCCAATCATGGACAAGGGGATAAGGATAATAAATATCACACTGATTTGATGGAATTATTAATACATTTATTGTTGATCTTAAGAATCAAATATGACCCTACTGTATAAACTAATCTCATTAAAATTGGAATGCTACTGAATAGTTTTCAAAAAAAAAAAAATCCAAAAAAGTTTTGGGAGTTATTGTCAATGTGGATGCTTGTAATTGCTTCTTTATTTATTACTGACAACATAATTATTACTGACAATATAAGTTGATAAGTCCAGCAAAAAGTTAGAAGGAAAAGAATTTTTAAAAAATATTGTACAAAAAAACTCAAACAAAAAATGATGTCAAAAAATGAGGGATTGTTTAGTTTGTATCTTAAGTTATAATTTTTGAAAAAAAATTTTAAAATTTTATTTGATTCAATTTTATTTTTTTTTTAATTTCTAAAATCACTTTATCTCCTACACATCAATTAATCACTTTTTCTCTCTCATCTTTCATACTTAATCATTTTTTCTCTCACACATATCTATTCAACTACAACAAAATATCAAATCATCCTACACTCCCAAATTTCAAAATTATTTTCAAAATATACAAACAAACAAACCAAAAAAAATTTTAAACTCTCTTCCCAAATTTTTTTCTTTAAAATTTATCTTAAAATAGAAACCAAACACATCCGATATTCTTGAAATTATAAATAATTATTGTTTTATTTTGAGAGGAAACAAGCATAATTTAAAACTTACTAAAAATTCTTGCACATTTTAAACCAAAATTTTTAAAGCATTTTGTCTAATTCCATCGCAGAATACAATTCCTACAAGATATGCGTAAATATTTTGCTTCTATGTGGCTATTTACGTTCCAATCCCGCTTGGTAGCTCGAAATCCCCGTTGCTCGACTGGCCCGAATATCAAAACGACGTCGTTTTGATATATATATATATATATATTTCTTTTCTCTTTCTCATTTTTCTACAAATTTGTTGATCTGAAGATTGAAGAAGAAAAGAAGAAGAGGAGTGAAGAAGAAGATCATCAGCCAATAAAAAATCAAAATCAGAAATCAAGAACATCCTCATCATGAAGATCAGAAAAAAAACCAGGGAAAAAAAATTCTTTGATTGATAGATCTACCAATTCTTTGACATCAAGAACAAAAAAAAAAAATCAGAAAAAAAAATCAAGAACATCAGGGAAAAAAAATTCTTTGATTGATAGATCTACCAATTCTTTGACATCAAGAACAAAAAAAAAAAAATCAGAAAAAAAAAATCAAGAACATCATCATCATCAACACATCAGCCAACAATTGCCAACAATTATTTATTTATTTTTTCTTTCATCTTTAGAACAACATCAAGGACAAAAAAAAAAATAAAAATTCAAGAACATCTTCATCAACACCATCATCAACAACAACAGCATCTTCATCAACATCATCATCAACACATCAGCCAACAATTTTTTTTCTTTCACCTTCAGATCCAGGAAAAAAAAAAAAATTAGAGAAATCAGAGTCACCGTTGTTCACCGTCGCCAACCCTCCATCACCGTCGCCTCTCTTTCTATTTCCGTCTCTCTCCCTCTCTCTTTCTCTCTATTCGCCTCCCTCCGTTTCTCATATATAAACGCAAAAAGAAAAAAAGAAAAAAAAACCTATCCATAATGACGCCGTTTTAGTCAGTTGTACCATTCGGGCCACTTATCTTTCGAGTTACCACTTATTTTTCTTTACATTTAAAGAGTTTTAAAAATTAAAAAAATTTATTTGAAATTTTAATAAATTAGAATTGCTCAAAAGCCTGAAAGCTAGAGAACAAACAAACCTGAGTCACATGTAGAGTAGTCGTTAAGATAGGCACTGTCTAGTTCGATCCTGCCAAAATACACCCGCCAAATGCCCACACAAATACACTCAAACCACGGACCACCCAAAAAACAAGTACACAAACTCCGAACCACAATCACCGACTCCAGATTCTTCCACTGATGATGACTCATTTTTCCAAACCACCTCTCCAAGCCACGTGTAAATTCCCTCAAACCCCCACCGTCGCATTGACCCTCCTCCACCACGCCACTTTGCACTCACTGCAGATCTTCTCTCTCTCTCTCTCTCTCTCTCTCTCTCTACATATGTATGCATTTGCACATTCGTAATTAGGGCTGCTAGGGTTTCCATGAGAATGCCGCAAGTTCCAGCTACAGCTCCATCGCAACGAACCTCTGCTTATCTCTTCGCCCTCACTCAAGAAATCGAGAAAAAGCTTCAGCGAGTCCGTATATATATATCTCGTGTTCAACTTCTTGTTAAGTGTTTGTTGCGATTGATCTATTATTGAATTGGATTTGAACTTTGTATGTGTTTGTGTTTGTTGCAGGCACTGGCATCGCCGTCGCAGAGACGCAACTTGTTGCAAGGGCTTTTCGCGGACATCGCTTTAGAGGTTGATGATCGGGCCAGAGGTGCGTGTGTTGCTTGGTTTTTTAACTAACTCGTTGATGCTCAAATGTGGTCATTGATTGTTTAAATGAATGCTATTAGATGAGTATACAAGCTTGTTTTCAGTTCTGGATTAGAAAACTTGTAATTTTCCGATTGTGGAACATTTATGTCATGGAGTGCAAGTGCATTTGTGTGTATCATGAAGTTTGGTGTCTGTAGTTAATATCGTTATAACGTCATTTCTATGAATTTGATAATTAGTCATTGTCATCAGCTGTGGACATGCAGTGATTCTCTACAAATTCTTGTTTATATATTGGCACCGTTAAGTTTGCAGTGACACGATTTGATTGGCAATTGTTTGAATCCGTCCAATTGAGAAAAATTAATGAATGATAATTGCCTTTGTGGATCTCAAAGGCATTCTGTTAATCAAATTTAATCTATCCGCACGCGGCTTTAGTCGTTTTTTGGGCTTCAAAATACCTGGCACCACAGATATTAATTTTGTTTAATGTCAAAATTCACCTTGTATGGAATGAGACGTTCAATTTATTGATGAGGTGAATATGTTTAGCATGTCTTTTACATTTGATGGTTCCCCAGAAAAGCTCACAGAAGCCTTCACTATAAAAATTAACCACTTGGTCATTGTTTGAACACAATCTCAACAGATACATATTTGTAAAAATGTTATTTTGCATGATGTTGCAACAAGATATTGCAACAAGACATTACACAATCTCACATTTTGACCTTCAATCTATCATCTCTTACTATTTTGATGAAACAATCTATGAAGATCATCTAATGAATGAAAGAGTGGTAGCTGTTACCCTCTAGGATAGTTTGTCCAACTCACATTAGAAAAGATAATAAGAAATGGAAGCAAGTCTTTCATAAGTTTGAAAGGGTATATAAAGAATATGTGAGTTATACATGAAATTGCCAAAGCTCTTTTGGAATGATGTAAACCAGCCCAAATGTTTTGAAATTGGTCATAAGAAAATTGTTAGTCAAAGTATGTGCTTTGACCTGTGTTGTCCCATGAACGAATGATTAGAGGGATTATGCTAGTATTGGTTTGTTCTGGGGAGGAAAACTGACCAATGGTAAGAAATACCTAGTTTGTATTCGTTCTTATTTTGTGTGAAAATTAAAGACTCAACTAGAGAAGCTGTGTGCCTATTGGATATTTTATGGCTTATAATGGTTCACTCATTGGATGTGTATGTTGTAAATTGTTACATAAGAGGAGGGTATTACGCTGTTCATAATCAATGGTATCCTCTGGCACCTTAATATCTTATGTCACAAGCTGAAGGACATATTTGGAATCCAAGGAGGAAGAGAGATATCGGTTAAATGGCATCAGAGAAACATTTTTTGACTTTTTTTGGCTTTTCTATTGACTTTTTAAAGTGGTTTAAGTTGCCTTTTTCCGGGAACAAGAGTAGCCAAATGACAGTTGGCTTATTTTGGCAACTTGGGCTTATAAGCTAGCTTAGCCTTCCTTTGGCACTTGGCTTTTAAGTTTAACTTATTGGCTTAAAATAAACCCACAAATAGCTATTGCTTATGAAAGCTAGTTTATTTGGTACTCTCTTATTAACTTATTAGTTTTTATTAAGTTTTATCTAAACTTTTTTTTAGCATAAGCTTGGCTTTTGAGTGAGAATAGAATATGCCAAATGAACTTTATTGATTGAGCTTAAAAAAGCTGCTTATTAGATGTGCCCGAATAAAGCTAATTACTACTTCTTTATGTTATTTTTTTTTTGCATTGCAATTGAAACAGATATAATTCTCAGCAGGGAAGATCTAATTTCCTCCTTTGAAGATGGGGCTGAGGGCCCGTTATGCTTTTATGACGTGCTTGCTGATTATTTTGTATGGGAACCTGAGAAGGGAAATCCAATTCTTGATTTGATAGTCCAACTGTGGAGCCAGTCATTTGCGTCTCATATTTTCTCACTTCTGTTCCACAAATGGGTATGTAGCAACTTTTCTTTTTTGTTATATTTGTTGTGTAAGTTTTTCTTCTCAATGTGTGATGTTGAATGTGGTGAAGTTTTGTTTAATAATAGAAACTAAATTTTTGTGTTCCTAATTATCATGTCTATCATTTGAGGTGATTAAATAACAACATATATTTGTGCTGAAAAGCAGGGCTGATCGCGGGTCGGTTTTGGCCGGGTGCGGGTCAAAACCGACACGACACGACCCGCGCACATGCGGGTTGGGGAAAACAGACCCACAACCGCCCGCGGTGCGGTTCGCGGGTTGTGCGGGTGGGTCTGTTGGTTGTGCGGGCGGGTGCGGTTCGGTTTGCGGTTTGGGCTTTTTTTAAATTGGGCTTAGTTATGATATTAATTTGAACAAATTTGACATGTTGGGCTACTTTTTAAGCATTTTTTTTTATTATTTATGGAAAAGTTATAAATTAAATTTCATGATAACATAAATACCCATATAATGATATAATAAATTTTATATTCTTCCAAAATACAAAAATAATTGATAAAACTAATTACAAACTAAAACATTAAAATTCACACTAAAATCAATCTCCATCCATCCATGATCCAAAACTTACCTAAATTTTACATTTATCCAAAATGCAAAAATAATAATAATAACTAGTTATCTCCATCCGTCCATAATCCAAAGTTTACCTAAATTTTACATTCATCCAAAATGTAAAAATAATAATAATAACTAGTTATCTCCATCCATCCATAATCCAAAGCTTACCTATTAATCCAAAATGCAAAAATAATAATAATAACTAGTTAGAAACTAAAATAAATTAGTTTTCATCCATCCATCCATCCAAAATCTAAAGCAAGCTTACCTAAAATTTAGTGCTCCAATTAATTTTACATTCATCCAAAATAAAAAAAAATAATAATAAACATTAGTTACAAACTAAAATAACATTGTCTACAAACTTCATCCAAAATAATTTCAAAAGGTGGTATCCATCCAAAGCTTCACTAAACTCTTTAGGTCCATCTTCCAATGTCCAATCTCATCCAACAATCTGCCAAAAAAAATTCCAATGAGCCAAATTAATAAATATAAATAAATAGATATGAATAAATAAACATTAAGCTGAGCTTAACTAATTAGAAAAATCTCACACATGAGCCAAATGAACATTAAAGTTCAATTATAGCATCTACATTAGACTTTGGGGTTGAAGAGGAACATGGCTCCAAAGTACCTAAAAGCATGAGTGAACAAGAGAAGATAAATAAACTTGCATAGTAAAAATAATAATAGAATTAAAAATGAAGAGATATTCACATATTACCCGAGTCGTATTGCTCAAATTCCTCCACATCATCCATTGCTTGTCGAAGAGAAATTGGAAGGTTGCTTTTAAGCCAATTTTGTGTGCATATAAGAGCTTCAACCATGGAAGGGGCAAGTGAACTACGGAATGGATCAAGGATACGTCCCTCGGTACTGAAAGCCAACTCCGAAGTAACGGTAGAAATGGGCATGGCCAACACATCCTTTGCTATTTGAGATAACACTCTATACTTTGTTGCATTATTCTTCCAATATTCCAATATCTCAAATGTCTGATTTTTTGCAAAATGTTCAACCTCGCCCAAGTACTTGTCTAATTCCGACTTGCTTCCACTAGTGAAGCGCCCTTCCAAATATGAATTAAATTGGGACTCCATTTGAGAATCCAAATAATCCTCATCAATCACCATTGTCTCCACTTCAGTCACCCTCGAGACACTCTCATTTGATGAATAAATTGTGGCATAATGGTTGTACAAACGAGTCAAACAAAAAACAATTTTGTTCACCATCTCATCCACCTTCCTCTTTTCTCCATGAAATATATTTGTAAAACAAAACTTCAAGTATGCTATCTTTTTTGTAGGATCAAGAGTAACAGCAAGATACAACAACAAATTAATCTTATTTCCATCCCCCCAATATTTGTTGAACTTTTGCTTCATACTCATAGCCATTGTGCACAAAACATCATCATTGTCCAAAATTAATTGATTAATTGTGCTTTCAATTTTAAACATCTCTTTATAAAATGCATTGGAAGTAACAAAAAGGGACCCGGAAAATTTCTTTGTTGCAAGGTAGAATAGTTTCAAAAATCTCACAAACAACCTACATTTTTTCCAATCCTCCTCATTTGGAATCCTCCTAATCCCACCATCAACATCTTTGAAGTAAGTTTCAAAATTGGAGTCTTCATACTTCAAACGGTTAAAAGCCTTCTCAAACTTTTCAGCAGCCTCCAACATTAAATATGTGGAATTCTACCTTGTTGGTACATCTAGGCATACAAGAGCAGTAGTCAGAAGTTTTAGATAGGCCGCACACTTCTTAAAAGCATCTTGCCGATTAGGAGAAGACCTCACATACCTAACCGCAAGTCTAATATTTGCAATAGAATCATCCATTTCTTTCAATCCATCACTCACAACAAGGTTTAGAATATGTGCACAACACCGCATATGCAAAAACTCATGCTCCAAAATGGTCCTCTTCCCATCTTTGGTATTCCTTCTCAAGTATTGAATGGTAAGATTGTTGGAACTAGCATTATCAACAGTTACAGTGAAGATACTATCGATGTTCCACTCAAGCAAGCACAACACAATTTTTCTATCCAAAGTTTCCCCCTTGTGATCTTCAACTTGTGCTCTCCCACCACTACTCTCACTCTTTCTTTTGTTCGGGGGTTTAGGAGGCTTAGATTCAGATGGGGAAACATTAGTTTGAGAATTAGATGATTCTGGTGGAACAATAGGGCTTCCGGTAGATTCAAAACTAGCATTGTTATCTTTATCCATTCAAACTGGTAATAAAAAATTAAAAAAGTATGAGATAACAATTAAGTCATGGATGGTATTAATAATTGAATCTAAACCATAACAATTCTAGCAAAAGCATCAGCTATTTTCAACATGAAAATAAAATAAATACAATCTTATAAACTTGAGTCTTATAAAATAAATAAACCATCCACATCTCATTTTTGGCTACACTGATTAATCATTATGGTTCTTTCTCCTATTTATAAAAATGATTTAGAATAATTCCAATGGTAAATGTAAAAATAATTTTGCTAAAGTGTAAAGAAAATATAACCAATTCTCATTTTTGGCTATTATCAAATTTTATTTTATTTTATGATATTGATTAGTTGTGTTGATATGCAAAGATTAAAGTTGTGCAGGGATTTGCGAAAAAATAACAAAATAAAATAAAATAAAGAAAAAAATTATATGAACAAAGGAATGGAATGGATACAAAATACAAACAAGATTTAAAGAATTTATTAATGAATTAAATTTTAAAAGAGAGGAAAAAAAAGATAGAATCCCAAATTAGAAAACAAAAAAGGTAATGGAAAAAAAAAGGATTAGGGAAGTGAGGTTTTATTTTTGTTTCAGGACATGAAGGATTCCAGGAACAGCCTCAGAAGATATGATGATGCATCTTTACTAGAGATTCTCAATAAAAAAGTTAAGTTGGAAGCATTTTTTTTGAAGAAATTAAAAATCAAGTGTATTTTTGAAAAATAATTATATATGCATGAAAAAATTTACGACTTTAATAATTAAAGTTATAAATTTTATTATTAACACTACACTGATTTGTTATCTCTCTCTCTCTCTCTTTATTTTTTTATCTCTAATTATCCGGAAGAACAGTTGTGAGAATTAGTAGATGATTGGGAACCAAGCATTTTAATCCAAAAAAAAAAATTTTAATTAAAAAGTCACAATAAATTATTAAATTATTTTTTTTACTTTTATATAATTTTTTCTTAAAATATTAAAAAGTGACTAAAAAATCAAACTTCCAAACCAAACCAGCCCTCAATATTCCTGTCTTTGTGCGTGTATGTACATACACCAAGCAGCATCTACAGCCAACCAGATCACACCTGTTACATCTCTTTTTCATATTATTTTATTTTTGTTTACAAAAACATAAAATACAAGTTTCAGATCCACATCTAAGTTTCAAAATTAATTAAAAAGTCACAATAAATTATTAAATTATTTTTTTTACTTTTATATAATTTTTTCTTAAAATATTAAAAAGTGACTAAAAAATCAAACTTCCAAACCAAACCAGCCCTCAATATTCCTGTCTTTGTGCGAGTATGTACATACACCAAGCAGCATCTACAGCCAACCAGATCACACCTGTTACATCTCTTTTTCATATTATTTTATTTTTGTTTGCAAAAACATAAAATACAAGTTTCAGATCCACATCTAAGTTTCAAAAATCTAATGAAAGCAGATCCACATCTAAGTTTCTGCAGATCCACATCTAAGTTTCTGCAGATCGACAAATTTCAAAAATCTGGCACACCCAAGTTTCTGCAGATCCACATCTAATTTCAAAAATCGAATGAAAAAGAGACAGAGAGAGAGAGAGATAGAGCAAACCGTATAGGGTGCCGATCGCCGGTTGATTTGCTGCTGCCGATCGTCGAGAAAGAGAGAGCGAACCGTATAGGGCTGTGTTGCTGCCGATCGCCGGTTGATTTGCTGCTGCCGATCGCCGGTTGCTGTGCTGCTGCCGATCGCCGGCTGCTGCTAGCTAAGAAGGGAAAAAATACAAAAGGGGGAGAGAGGAGAGAAAGAGACGGGGGCTAGGTGGGTTCTGCGGGTAGGGTAATAAATAAAATAAAGGTTTATTTTATTTTGTAATATATTATATATATATATATATAAATATAAAAAATAAAAAAATTATAATTATACGCGGGTCGCGGTTTGCGGTTCGGGTAGGGTCAGAACCGCAACCCGACCTGAACCTGTTTTTTTGGGCAGAATTCTTGACCCGCACCCGCCCACCTACCTATATCGAAACCGCCCAAAAGGCTGCTGGTAGGGTAGGGTCGGGCGGTTTGTGCGGGTGGGTGGGTTCTGTGCCCAACCCTACTGAAAAGGGAGGGTATGGAGAGAGTTCCATGTAGTACTGGGAA